AGGAGGGACACCGGTATTCCTGAGCCGTGTCCCCGGGTTCCGATCTGTATAGAGGAGGGACACCGGTATTCCTGAGCCGTGTCCCCGGGTTCCAATCGGTATACAGGAGGGACACCGGTATTCCTGAGCCGTGTCCCCAGGTTCTGATCTGTACCCAGGAGGGACACCGGTATTCCTGAGCCGTGTCCCCGGGTTCCGATCTGTATAGAGGAGGGACACCGGTATTCCTGAGCTGTGTCCCCGGGTTCTGATCTGTATAGAGGAGGGACACCGGTATTCCTGAGCCGTGTCCCCAGGTTCTGATCTGTACCCAGGAGGGACACCGGTATTCCTGAGCCGTGTCCCCGGGTTCTGATCTGTACACAGGAGGGACACTGGTACAGCTGTTTACTGATAAGGAAAGCTGTGGTATTAAGTAAGAAGTCAGAAAGTGAACACTGTACACCCTGCTGAGGAGAATCCCAGGACAATACTCATCCTCAAGCTGCCCCTCACAGACCTGAGGTCACTCTTAACAGGTCTTCTTTCTGTACGTCTGTTTGTCTGCCAGCTTGTGTGCAGTCTGTCTCCCCCACTGGGGTGTAAGCCACTCTGTGCAGTGTGGGGAGCCCACGTCCCGAGGCACAAGGACTCATGGAATGGAGAATGGTAGGCCCACAGTCTCTCAAGATAACTTGCCTACAAGTTTTGAAGTCAACCGATCATTGTCAGACAAGGCAAAAAGGCTTAAGGGGCTAACGTCGTAATGTGCCGTGGAGTCTGTTCTCACCCATAGCGACCCTGCACAGGGTTTCCAAGGCTGTAAATCTTTATGGAAGCAGAAAGCCTCATCTTTCTCCTGTGGAACAGCTGGTAGTTTTGAACTGCTGACCTTGTGGTTCACAGCCTGATTCGTAACCACTACACTACCAGAGCTTTTTAAAGGGCTAACAGTAAACTAGAAAGGAAAGCACTAAAAGGTCGGGGGTGGGAGAGCAATGATGGAGACTATAAATTAAATGTTGCAAGATTGTCCCGTGTGCACATGTGGAAGGAAGATCATGTACGTCTCAGTTCATATGTTGTTGTGAAGAGCCGTTTGTCCCGTGTGCACGTGTGGAAGGAAGATCATGTACGTCTCAGTTCATATGTTGTTGTGAAGAGCCGTTGATTCAGTTCTGATTCATAGCAACCCTGTATTAGGTTTCTAAAGATCAGCTGGTGGATTTGACCCGCCGGCCTTGTGGTTAGCAGTCCAGTGCTTATCCCACAGTGCCACATCAGGACTCCAGTGCACATGCAGCCTTGGTCTGTGGAGGGGGGGCGCTAGTTCCCCTTTGTCCCAGGCCTGTTCAGAACGTTGGTACAGCATGGGGCTTGATTTTAAGTCATTCTTCCAGAGACGGTGACTGAGAACATAATTAAGTCAGCATTTTCTGGTCCTAGAGGTCTCAGCAGATACGATGGTAACCACACATGTACAGTCACCTGAGGGCTGTACACCTAAAGAAGAAATGGTGTATTCCCCGGAGCCGAAGGAGGCGCTGCTCAAAGAAAAGGTGGGGTTTTTCCCACCAGTTGGAAAGCTGAACTTGAGTGAATTCAGGATATCTAGTTACTCTCCGGAGGAATGGGCAAGTGAGGAGGAGATTCGGCGCTTCTGGAAGCTGCGGCAGGAGATTGTGGAGAATGAGAACACCAAGGAGGTCGCCAATCAGCTGCTCCCCATCGAACTGCCTCCCAACCTCAAGGCTGCGCTCAGGACGAAAACGAAAGAGCACCCGAAGTCCAGACACACTTTCAGGTAAAGTTTTAAAACAAACAGGCCTTTTCTTGATCTTTGCAAGTTTGTCATAGGATTTTGTTATGATCTGGTACACATTGGCTAGGGGTCTGCATGGTCATCATTTATTTTGGGGCAGATGCCAGCCTTGTGTTCAGCAGGGACCCTGTTACACTAGCTAAAGGTGTCCCGGAAAACAGTCGCAAAGGAGGAGCCAGTCGAGAAAGTGCATGTGTGTGTGTCTGCGTGTTTGCCTATGTGTGTGCCTTGTGTGAGTGTATGTGTGTGCATCTGTATCTATGGCTGTGAATGTCTGTCTGTGTGTGTTTCTCTGTGTCTGTTCCTGTCTGCATGTCTGTCTGTATGTGTCCTTCTGTCTGTGTAAGCTTCTGAACTCTTCCATTAGTAGTTCCCATCGGTGAGATTGTACATTCCAACTTCTGCGAACGTGACGCATAACTGAAAAGACAAGCTCAGTGTTCAAAGGGGCCTTTGGGACCCTAAGTTCTGACCTTATATTTTGCACGTAGTGGTCTGCTCTTGATTGCTGGTCCACAGGTTGGTGGTTTGAAAGGCCTGGTGAGCTCCTCAGCTGCTGGACACCTGTGGAGCACAGCTCTGCTCTGACACACCACGACGTACAATCTAACACACAGTATTCAACAATTTCTTTCTCTTAAAAAAGTTCCTTTAAGAAAAAAATCTCCAGACATGTCTCCAAGTCTGACATTTGCATTTGTTGTTAAGTGCCTTTGAGATGGTTCTAAATCATAGCAACGATATGGGGTTTCCAAGGAGTGGCTGGTGAGCTTGAACCACTGACCTTGCAGTCCAGCACCTCTACCCACAGTGCCCCACCAGGACTCTGAAATTTGCAGTTAAGGGGCTTTTATAGTCCTAGCGATAGTGAATGGGTCTTAAATGAGTTCCTAAAGTTAGTGGGGTGGCGCTGTAGGATGAGTACTGCACTGCTTACCCAAAGAGTGGTAGCCGCTATGAGTTAGAACTGACTCGACGGTACACACCAATAACACCAGAGTTAGCGGAGACCAAAAATCCTGTGGTGCCTTTGGGGAGGAGGGAACTAGGGTAGCTCATGACTCACAAGCCTACGGAGAACATTTTCCTGGCCACTCAGGCCCTGGTCAGAAGGGAGCCAGCTGACCAGGCCAATCAGTGCCCTGAAGGCCACAAGGCAGGCTCTCCTGACTGAAGCGTCACCCGAACCGTAATTGGTTCCTAGGTGTGGGGGGATGAGCTGTAAAGACTTTGGGAACAATTGGGAAGTCTGTGGACTCTGTTCATGTATCAGCTAGTGTCATTGAATACAGGTTGAGTTTTGGAGGTATGAGTTATGAAAATGTTCTTTGGAGACGTGCGTGTATCTGGATGATGTGTCCCCAGGTCAGCGACTGGAAGTGGCTTCTTGGGGATGATCACATCTTAGCTGTTGGTCTGTGGCCCTCCCAACTCCGCCCCACTGTACACCATAGATGCACAGTGTGGCCAAATGTTGAAATTGCACAGGGGGACAGTTAGGAGAAGGCCGGGGCTGGGGGAGGTCCCTGAACACAAAGGCTGAGAAGCCCGATCCCAAAGAAAGCCGTTCGGCATCTAGTGTTCTGTATGAATGGTTCTGTGGGTTTGAAATAAGCGTTATTGAAAATTTACCACCTTTGAAGTACTGACAGCCTGCACCCCAGGTTTCCAGCTGTAACTCTTCACCCAGGCTCTGGAACTGTTACAGAATCTGAACCAGCATGCTCCCACAAACAGGAAGCTGTTTGGAAACCCCCTTCCCTGGCTGTTCAGTTAAATTGTGGTGAGCGTTTGAATAGGCCTTTACAGTTTAATCCAGTCTCTGGGACTTTGGTATCAGCCCTTGGCCTTTAGAGGTGTAAGTGGCTTTGGGGTTGGTGTGGAGAATGGGCCAGAAGGAAGCATCGCCCCCTGGTGGCCGGAGGCCTGCAAGTGGACACCTTACCCGACGCCCCTTTCCCTTTACTTGGTGTGTTCTGGCCTCTAATCAGTTCATTGTGGGATCCTGTTACATTGATGAGAACATTTTGAGGTGCTGACACGTGGTCAGCACACTGTTCCGATTCCCCTTAGTTGTGGAGTACCCGGAGCACCAACCTGCTCAGCGGCCACACGCTTCTGCTCATTAGGGTGTGACAGGCTAGTCACGGCAGCTCCAGCTGCTCTGCCTTCAAACAGGGACTCCATTCCCTGAGAGCGGCCGACAGTCACTTGAATGAATGAAATGACGGGCCAGCCCTGCACACCTCCACACTGTGCCACAGGGGGCGCTACAGAGCAGCTCAGGCAGCTACTGGGGGAAGGCTGTGATCTCCAAATGCCAGACCCAGAGGATGCCAGTTACACGGGAAGGCAGAGGCAGAAAACACCTTGGTCACAAGGCTTCAGAAAATGTTCCTGGAAGATGTGTTCCGAGGAACTAGCATGAAATCCAGAGTTCAGAGCAGAGCCGTGTAGACCGCAGCTGTCAGGATCCGAAATGCCTGGTAGTAAAGCAGTGTGCTGGGAAGGCGGGAGGCTCGGAACAGTGGGCGCGGGCTCCGTGGGGGATGCGCCCAGGGCTGTGGCTTAGGCCAGTCACTCTGAGCTATAGATAGAAGGAGCCCGAAACTGTGTCTCATTCCAAAAGGAAAATGCCCAGCTTCAAGAACACCCTGCCCAACCTCTCCTCGACGTTCGAAACAATGATCCAAGCCAAGAGAGTGGAAGAGAGTCGCATGGCGGCCCTCAGAGAACTGAGAGAGAAGCAGATACTGATGGAACAGCAGAGGAGGTGAGGGGAGCCAAAGCACCTGGAGGGTGGTGGGCATGGGGGGACCCGGACTTCCTTCACCAAAGCTCCCATTACCGTCTCATATTAAGACAAAGGCCCCACGCTCTCCCCAGAGGCGTGCAGCTCTGAGAGTCCACCCGGCCTGCTCTCTGGCTCTTGCTCAGTCTCATCTCCCCTTCCTGTCACATGGTCACCAGTTAAGTGTGTCCAGTGTTGAGAGGACCCCAGTAACGCTTCCGATCTGCGGTTTACCTCACACCCTCATGTCTCCTCTTTGCTCCCAGCTCCACCATCCATCCTTCTCCACCCCACCCTGGGCCCATGGAGGCCAACCGGCTCAAACCTCATCTGGGTGTCCCACAGCTCCTGGTGGGCTTCGGCCTGTGGGGGGCCCCTGCCTCCTCCGGAGATTGGAGTGGAGCCTGTGAGACAGGGCAGGGTGTGGACCTTCAGCTCCCCCCACCCCCAAATGTCACCTGGGACAGGCTGAACCCTTCCCCCTGTGACTCTCTTCTGTCATCTCCTCCCGCCCAGCTCTTTTTGCCCAGGCCTGGCAGCCCCCTATAAATAGCTGTTTTATTAATAAATCCACCTCAAACTGCGGCCTCCGAGTGCGTGTTTTCTCTGGACCCTGACTGCAGACTGGACGAAGCCAGAGTCCACTCTCTAGTTGTAGCTGTGGCCTTCCACCGTGGTTAGGGACAAACACCCAAGCCTGACCCCCCAGGACCCCCTACCAGCTGCCGCAAATGGGGACATCCCTGTACCTTTCCTCCCAGAGTCCTTGAACAGAGTGTTGTTAGCAGGAGGTAGGGGAAAAGGGCCAGGCCAAGGTCCCCTTAGAAATAAACACTTCTGGGATGATGACGTCTGAGGGACCCTTATCCCACCCCGCACACCTCCTCTTCCAAGAGTGTCTTATCCCCCAACACATCTCCCATCATGCTCCACCAACCATGTGGGGGTGGCGGGGTACCTGCTTATCTAGGTTTGGGAAAGGTACATGCCTTTGTAGAAAGACAGTTTGTGCCCTGAGGCTTGGTAGCCCACCTACCCCTGGGCCTGTCCCCCCGGGCCCCTCCTCTATACTGAGGACTCACCCACTAAGGGTCACCCAGGTAGATGGAATCACAGCGCACCCAGTGACAAGTCATGTTACAGTCCTGTGGACCTGTAAGAGATTCCAGTACAGGGACGAAGGCTGGCCAGTGGGTCCACACCGCTCCACGTGAGATGGAGATTCTGAGAATGCAGAGTCACCCCAGATTTGGGTGGTGGCGGTTGGAGGCCCGGCTGAGGTGCTACTTTGGCAGGGGCCGCCTGACAGGGCAGTGTTCAGGTGTGGGGACCACCTGGACGATCCACCGTGCAGAGCTGCCGCCTTCCGGGGCACTATCCAGGCTTCTGGGTGGGTGGAATGCGGAGGGAATTGTGTGAGCCATCGGAACTGGTGGATGGAGACAGGCCAGTGGAACAGCGCCTAGAACCTGTGCAGCCAGTTTGGCCCCTTTGGTACCCTGTAAGCGAGGCTGTCACTTACACAAGTGACCTTGTCTGTGGTAAGCACGTGATAAGCACAGACCTAGTTCTGCATAAAGTGCGGTAGTAACACAGGTGAGAGACCAAGTCAGCACCTGGGGTCAGGAAAACTCAGTATCACAGTGTGGCCCGGTCCAGGAGGAGGGCCTGGCTGCCACCTGAGCCCCAAGGCAGGAGGAGACGAGTTCAGGGACCCGGTTCCCTCGCCCTGGCCAGCACCTCCCCTCCCCGCACACTGTCTGGAGGGCAACATAGAATCTTCCAGGATTTGGCTGACACTGCTGTTACCGTCTGATCTTAACACGGAGACCTGTTTCTTCCAGAGACAAACAAATTCTGCAGGAGTGGAGAGGGAGACTGCGGAATGAAAAGGAGGAGCTCTGCGGGCTCCCGCATCCGCGGAGGAATCTGGTAGGAGAGGGTGGGGGTCCCGCACCCCTCGGGATGATGCTGATGGGGGTGGGGAAGGAGGGGGTTACCCTCTGCCGACATATTCTAGAAGCAGGGATCGAGTATGCACTGGGCCGCTGAGCCACCTCTCGCATTGGCGGCCACTCTGAGCAGACAGACGGACGGACGCATGCCCTGCCTCAGGAAGGCATGCATCACTGGGGACAGGAGGACCCCTTGGGTTAACGAGTGAGAGGTGACGGACAAAGCCCGAGACAAGGCCATCAGTTCGTCTCAGTCCCTCAGATCCCCTGCTCAGACCTTGTTGACAGCCGCCATCCATTCTGCTCAACTTTCAGGCCACGCTCCTGCTTTTGTCTTTAACCTCCTGTTTTTCTAACTTTGACCCTTCCCTGCTGTGCTCTCTTCTCCCCCTGGAGTGGGCAGGGAGAAGCTACCGGGACCTCTGGGTGGTCTGGGCTGCCACGCTGATCAGTCCTGCTATGTGACCGAGTGCCCCTTTGTCTTCTGCCTGTCCCTGGACACTGGGCTCCTGGGAGGCTGGTGTTCACTTTTTTCACCATCATTTGCCACCATCCTTACTACAGTCATGAGAAAAATCTCAAATCAAATTGAATTTTCTCACTCCTTGACAGGTTGGATTTTTTTTTTTTCTGGTTTGAAACCCAGATTGCAAGGAATCCACAAGGTTAGTTGAGTCTGTCTTGTGTGCACCTTGCAGGTGAACATTGATGGGTTTGCCCATCCTACAGGCTCCTGGTATTCTGAGGATGTTCCTACAGCCTGGGGCCCTGGAGAGCCTCCTGAGTCACACACACCCAGAAGCTCTGAAACGGAAAAGAGCATCATTTTACTTCGTGAAACAGAAAGATTTTGTGTGGTCAAAAACACCATAATGGAAGTCAGAAGATAGGGGAAACCATTGCGGCGAGTTGTCTAACAGAGCTGCAAGCAGTGCTGGATGTGTGGCAGACGCTCACCTACTGGGGGCGCCACTAGCCGAGATGCTCACCGCTGACAGAGCCTCGCCACCAGGCAGGCTGCTGTCAGCTTCTTAGAAAACTTCTCTTTAAATTAAGAAATATATATTGCTTCCAACAGTTTTAGGAGTCCATCCTACAGAAATGAAAGGAACCCTATATCATCAGTATTTTGGAGTCCTGGTGTGGTGCTGTGGGTTAATGTGCTGGACTGCAAAGTTGGTTTGAACCACAAGGTCAGTGATTCAGTCTCACCAGCTGCTCCTCAGAAACCCTATACAGGATCGCTATGGGTCGTAACCGACTCGATGTTACTTCACAACAACATCAGCAGCATGTAAGAGGGAGCTTCAAAAAATAGTGGGGAAATGGAATGATGAGGCATGGAATTTTCCCGCCAACTTGTTGAAGTCCTCTCGTTTTTATGTACAAAGCTGTGCTCAGTGTTGTTTGTCGAGGCAGAATAGGAAAGTAGGAAGTAGAAGCGTTTGAATGGCTGTAATGGGGAACCTTGCCCTGCCCAGACCACTGCTGTTCTCACTGACTGCAACCCTGTAGGGTTTCCACGGCTAAACCCTGAAGGAAACAGACCACCTCATCTTTCTCCCACTGAGAGGCTGGTGTGTTCAAACCCTCCACCTTTCAGTTAGCAGCCAAGGGTTTAGCCACGGTGCCACCAGGTGCACCTATGCCAAGTCTATTCCTATGGCACAGAGGCCAACGAGCCTTAGAGGTTCTGAGACTATAAATATTTATAGGAGCAGACAGCCTCATTGTTCTCCCTCAGAGCAGCTGGTGGCTTTGAGCCAGCGACCTTGAGGTTAGCAGTCCTGTGCTTATCCCACAGCACCACCAAAGGGGACATAAATTATAGTCTGTCCTCATGGTGGGAAGAAACCCACCGGTCCTGCAATTGGGCCAGAAGACACAAGAGGGCGCCCTGGCTCCACAGCTGCACCAGTAGGCGTGTGTGTGTGTGTGTGTGTGTGTGTGTGTGTGTGTGTTGTTGTTGTTGTTCTTGTTGTGAAGTGCCGTTGAGTCAGTTCCAACCCATAGCGACCCTGTATAGGGTTTCCGCTGGTGACCTTGAACTGCCAACCTTACAGTTCAAATGGCTTTGCAATCTGGTGCATTAACCCACAGGGCTATACCAGGACTCGGGGTGTGTGTGTGTGTGTGTGTGTGTGTGTGTGTGTGTGTGTAGGGGGCAGAATGCACTTCCTAAGACCCTGGGGGTGTCCTGGAGTTCCCTTGGGGGTGGGGGCAAGGCGGTTCCTGGCCAGAGCCCTGGGTGGCTGTGACCTCAGGGTTCTTAGTTTTTCCAAATTGTGGGGGACTGGAGCCCTCCCTGCACTGAGATGCACTTGAAGTGGTAGCAGCAATGAGCGTTGAATGTTTGTGCTTCGTGGTGCTTCGGTACAGCCACTGTGTGTATCTGAGAGTAAAGAAAGGACTCTATCAGAACTCAGCCAGTGAAACCCTACAACAGACACAGTGGTCCTGTGCACAGCTGATAATGGGGCACACAGGCTCCTGGGAGGCATGTCCACTCTGTGGCGACTGAAAAGTGTCCAACAACTAACCTAAAGAATGGAGGTGTTCGGGTCCACCTAGAGGTGCTTCGGAGGAAAGGTCTGGAAATCTGCTTCTGAAAAAATCATCCACTGAGGACCCCGTGGGGCACAGTTCTCCTCTGACCACACAGGGCACCATGAGTGGAATCTACTTATGAAAACTCACCCACTGAGGACCCTGT